AATATAATAAATGCACTCTTTAAAATTCACTATATTTGTTTACCATAGCGACACTCTTTCGCTAGGTTCACTTAACAGCGTTATATTTCGCTCATATTATAACTCAGAATGTACAAAATTTATATCATTTGAAAAATTATTTAATTTTTGCCACATGTTTATTCAAATACTATAATAAATTTAGAACGATGTTTAAAAGAAACTAGGCAAACAAAAAAGAAACAGTTTTTCACAGACGATTGAGTATTTCTCATTCAATTAATTCAGTTCTCACTTCGCGACAAGGCAAAAATACGTAAAAACTCAAAATATGTATATTAAAAATTACGAAGTAAATCTTAAACACTTATTTCCTCGAAAAAATTCCAGAAAGGAATTAAGCATAATTTTATTCGCAATAGTAAATGAAGGCGTTATCTTTGTTGTTGCGAAGCTTAGTCTCTCTAGATTGGCAACAAATCTATTATTCTGCTGTTTCGAATGTAAACAAACATGTCCGCCATGTTATTTAAAATTATGCTTTACCGCACTTCAGCTTTTAAATTGTTGATAATTCTACAAATACTGCTTGAAGATTTCCTAAAGGCATGAAAACTTTAACCGGAAGATAAGAACAACATTGCACTACGAAGGCATGCAGAAAGGAGGGAGAAAATACTTTATAAGGCAATATAATATCAATCAATCAATCAATACATGTATTGCCGGGCTATCGCTAATATGTGTGATGTTGCCGGCTCATTGATAATTCTGCCGTATGGGCACATGACGTAACAGTCAGACGGGTAGGAGGAGGTCTGAGATGAAGAGAGGGGGATGACCATGCACCACAAGGATATAGAAAACAAAACAGGAAAACATGAAACTGAAAACCAGTATAGGCTTGACAAGAATAAGGGAATCTGACTGATATTATAAAAAACATACATAAGAATAAAATATAGGTATACAAACTTTTTGTTTACTAAGAATAAATCAATACAGTAAAATTAGAAGTCAAGGATGAATGTGAAAAATATAAACTTTTTACACATATATCAATATACTAAAAGTTTATATTGTTACGAATTTGGTATTTAAAAAGCTAATGTTAGTTCAATTATAAATTAAATGGTTTTATTTCTCGCGCAGTGCAGCGCGTGACGAATATTAAAAGAAAGCTAAGCCGGAAAATTGAAAGTACAAGAGCGCGTGCATTAAATAAATAAATATCTCTTTTTGATTTCGAGAAAGTACTAGAAAATTCTAGCGCGTGATTTTAAAATCTTATAAAAGGAGGAAAACATCTCAGTTTGTAGTAGTTGCTTAGTTTTGTTGTTGTTTAGAAAACTGCTCTTGTGGATTGTAGCGAATTCACGGATTAGCTTTCTTTAGCTGTTTTGAATTACGTTCTATTGGACATTTGAGTAGTTAAAAGATAACTACAGTGAGATATTGTAATACTGCATGATAATTTGAGAAAATTTAAGCATTTTTGTTGTGATAATAATAAATTTTTGTTCATTTTTCATCGGACTTGTGCATTCATTTCATAACGAACCCATACCCACGCAACAATATACTATTTTCCATAAGTGCACGGGGCAATAAACTCGACATAATTGTAAATGCTAGCTTGGATTCACTCAAAATTCCCCATGAAGTTTGACGATGCGATTACATATTGTTACGAAATACCGAGTTGCGGTAAGATAGCTTCCCAGTAAATTGGGTTAACATAAAGACGCAGGAAAAGTCAGGGTTGCCAGTTTGGGAGCGAAATCGCCCATTTGGCGATATTTAACTACAAAATTGAAGATATGGCGTAGACGGAGCGAGAACATTTTAGAACGGATTCTTACCGTTTTTCCCAAGAATGTTCTCAAAGGCAGATCAAAAGTTATATATACCATGCTTTTACGCGCAATAGAAGAGTTCCTTTTCAGGATTAGCTTGAGAGCGACCGAACCGAGTCGGGAGCTGTACTTTAGTGTTCTGGCGTGAAACTGTCTTCACCGTTGTAGCCTCGAGGCTGTGTTGCTTATTGTTTCAACGTGTTTATCGTAGTTTTTCGACGACTGTAAACGTTTGTTTAGAACTGTTCTGTGTAATACTGGAGGATAAATGGGGTTTTTATTCTTCTTCATGTATTATCGGTAATTACGTTAAATCCACGAACCCGTAGAACGATAAAATATATGAATATAACATTATAGCGAGCAAAAGACATTTAGATCTATTTGTAGTCATTTTTATTGTGTATGACATTTTGTATTTTAAAAATAAATAGCTTCCTATGCAAACAAACCAAAAGTTGAAAGTTCTGGAATCAATAAAGGATGCGATCATTTCTACGGTATACCGTCATAAAAGCTCCACAATGATATTCCATATCTCCAATTAAATGGTAAATCGCACTTGATGCCAATAAACGCCATTCCTCTTTCCAGTTTTCTTAAAGTAACTGGAGAGATACAAAGCTTAGACAGTACGTCAAAATGATCCCAAAGATTTTCGAAGTCAGGCGAATTTGGTAGGCGCTTCATGAAAGCAATTCTCTCACTTTCAAGATAATATACATTATTAGCCCATAAAAATAAATGCCGGATTGACTACTATAGCAAACAAAACTGAGGTCAAAATGGGGTCAAAAGATGGAGGACGGTAAGAACGCTCAAATAAAATCCAGCTTGCACCATATAATTGCCGGCACTGATAACATCATGCTCAATGGTATAAATAGGCTTATTTCGTGCTCCTTCTCTTCGGATTTTACACTCTTATTGAAGGAATCTAATACAATTCTTAAACTCATCCATAAACAATACTTTAGACCATCCAGTTGTTTTCCAGTTAGCATGTTGACTACTCCATTTCACCCATGCTCCTCTAAACTTGACTCTTAAAGCAACATAACTTTGTACTACCCAGGCGCTTTCATATGTAGTCTTTCTCGTAGACGTTAGTCTTAGATAATTACCCTTTAACTGTAGTAGTAACCATTGCTCTTAAAGTTGACAGGGAAACTAATCGGTTGCGCTTAATTAGTAAAACCAAATATTTATCATCCTACGATGCAGTAATTCATTGAACGAGTGTAAATAAATCTCCGAACGGCTCACCTTGTTTGAAATTGTTTCCAAATGCGAGAAAATAAACATTGGCCAACACCAAAGAAAATAGCGACGCCTCCAATAGCGACTGCCTTTCTTGAAGCCAACTGACAGTTTGCCAAAATTAAGATTCTTCGTACCGTCTTCTTTGAGTCACATCTAAACCCAAAACCCATAATAACATAAAACGAATGACAATATTTTTTATTAACAGTTTAATTTCTCAGAAGTTTCGGAAAGGTATCGTCTCCTACCAATGCTTAAATTGCACAGGTGCAGAAAATAAATCTAATTGTTCTCATCATAAGATATTCCCATTTACATCCACAGGAGTTTTCCCGATTGACACTGAAACATGGATTTCGAAGCTCGGAATTTACCTCTCGTGCTTAACTTTTGAAAAACAGTTTTATTTCCTCTAAGTGCTGCAGTAGCATTAAAATGTAAAGCAAAAAATCATTAAAAATACTTTTTCATTATTCCTGATTTTCTTTTTATGTTTATATGTGAACATGCGTACGTAAATATTAAACTAAAGCTTTTAGGCTTAATTTTAAAGATCTTGAAATTAATAATACATGCTTCTTTATCATTCTTTAACATTATCCAAGCAGTCTGTAACAATGAACCAAGCAAGTAGATTTTTAGAAACAAAAGTGAGGATCCATTCACTGAAATCAGTGAAGTGGCTACACATAGAATGAAATATTGTTAATTGTTATTATTGTTATAAATATTGTTAATATTGTTATAAATATTGTTAATATTGTTAATTAATTACATATTTCACCTCATGTGCTCCTTTAGTATAAAGTTCTGAAAACCTTAAACAAGAAAGTAGAGTATCTTTAATGAGCAGAAAACAAAGACATTTATATATCGCTGAAAGGAATTTGTTTCTGATTTTTGAATAAAATATTTGAAAATCTAGTGGATGCTCAAGATATAATAAATGCAGTACCTGAATTGAAATACTATTTTCCTTTTAGTATTCTTACCTAGGTTCCTCTGCTTTTAATTTATTAAAGATAAAAAACTCGACAGTTGTTATGTTCTTTTTCCCCCTCCAAATAGCATATATTAAATAGCATATATTTTATGTTATTAGATAAACAATTTCTCATGGGAGATCTGTAGATAACATGATTAAATTTGTAATTTTAATATGCAAATGTTTCCAAAAATAATTGCTATGAGAAAGACTTATTTCTCAATTTTAAATTTACTTATTCGAAGGTAGTGTACATAAAAAGTGAAGCACGCTGTAATAAAGAAATGCTGAGTTCTATTTAAAATAATCTCTAAAACGTAAGTCTGCTTATATTATTCTAAAAATGCATACACACTCATAAAACATTGTTATGAATTTACATAGGCTGAATTAATCGTAAATTATATATAAGCTTTTGTTTGTTTTAATATAATAGATCGGAGACTTAAAGATGCATTTCACAAATGTAAAAATTATTTATTCATATGAAATGAAATAAATTATTTATGAAACATTTAACATTATTATGATAATTTGAAAGTTCCCGTACATTTTACATGTATGTAAATAATATGTAGTCTTGTTTAAATGCGAGTAACACTGTATATTTCACAAAATGCACGAAATAAATTATTTCACGAATTCAGTTATCTATGAAACTCTCGTGATACCATTAAGATGCATTTTACTTGCGTTTTCTAATATAATCTTTGAAATTTTCTCATGACATGTCCACATGGAATTATTGCATGATATAATCGCTTATTTTCTTAATGAAAACAAGACGCATTTCTTGATCTAAATAGTGAAGCAACATTCCTATTATATATCTGATTAAGTAAGTTCTTAAATAAGTAAGAACGGTTTCTCAATCCCATCAACAATGCTTTTAAGAAACGCCTCTTTTCTTTTTCTAGATGGCGCTTACAGAACGAAAGAACATATCAATACCGTTGAGGACACTAAAGGAAACAAGAAGGGTAAAGATTCGCTGCAGCTTAGAAAAGAAATAGATGAAGGTAATTTCGTCATGATATCTCATTTAAACCTTTAAAAACACTTCCAGACATTGTTCTACAAAGCAATTTGTCCGAAAGTTCTTTCTTCTGTGGCCAAATGGTTAATGGAATTTCTCTTTCCTTCGCTCTGTCTTATTTATTTTCGCATGTGCGAATTCTGGGCAAAGATTTCTTTTTATTTATATTTTTATCATTCTACGAGCAAGTATTTATCCTGAAGATTCTAAATTGTGTGCGCGTTCTTGCGTACATACGAGCAAATCACGGTTTAGAGTAATGTTGCCATTCCTGAGTGCGGAAATTTTTGTCGAGTTCGGTTGACTGGATTTCTAGTTGCCACTCGTCTCGAAAAATCTACAAAGCGTTAAGAACAGAATTCTCTTCTTGACGTTTCAGCATTCAAATCACGGTTTTTTTCGCATATAAATGCGCTGCTTCGTTTCTCATTTGAATCCGAAGAAGACAGCGTCAAAAGTATTTTTGAAAACTGTATCTGTTTAAAATTTAACAGATGTATTAGAATAGGTTTATTACAGGAAAGATGGAATAAATTCTAGCAAAGAAAATCTATTAAATCGTAATTTTTTAAATCTATGTTCATTTTAATAGATTTGGTATGACATATGCCATACTGACCTTAGTAAAACAGACCTCATACAGTATAAAATGATCATGCCGTTTCTGAAGCTATCCACACAAGGAAAAAAAACGTCTTTCATATAGGTAAAGTACAGTTTATCATCATTATATCACTATGGCGAAAGTATTTATGAGAAAAATAAAACACTGATAAAAGCAAAACCTTAAGTAAAACTATTAAATATTTATCTTACGCAGAAACTTTTAAAGGTATATTTAAAATTACTTTAATATATACGTTAAGTTTTGTGTTACAGTATTCTATAATTACCATTTTCAAAAGTGCATTTTAATAAAAAAAATCATCGTTTAATTGGAGTCAGTACAATAATTTCATGGTTGTCTTCTTTTTAAGTTTTATGACATATAATAAAAATAGAAATTTACATGCCTTCTTAATTAACATATACGCGTAACAAAATAACCAAGTCCAATGTTTAGAGACAAGTTAAATATTGCTTGTAATGATTAAATTATTTGTAAAGTTCGTAGCTAAAACTTCTTTATGAGAAAAGGCTAGAATATGTTCTACAAAATTTAAGTTTCTTTTGTTTAAAAACCATTTGGTTAATTTGAGCAGTGTTTTATTTGGAATTTTTCGTATTTTATAATTTGTAGTTTATTCTTCTAAAAAGTAAGAGAAAAAACTCCTGGACTTTAACTTATTTTAGGAAAGAAATGAAGTTGAAGTTTCAAGTCATAACATTAATAAGCTTAAGTATTCACTTGATTAATAGCTTAAGTATTCACTTGATTATAATTCATATTTTAATTCCGGATTTTTAAATCCTGAAATTTTTCGAAATTCAGTTTACTACATAAAAAGTTTGTTTGTTGATTCTGTAAATGAGACTTTGCGTTAACTTTTATTATTGATTAGATTTTGGATTTTGCTATACCCAAAGAATTACATGTAAGTTTAATATGAGAAGCTTTCAGTTATTAATTTGAAGTAAAACTGTTAGATTTTTGCATTGTCTAAAGCTGTCATGTTTAGACTTAAAATCAATTTAAAGTTATACACTTTAATAGGTGTTGGTGTATTGAGAATACGGCAAAGCACACTAGGGCTATCTGCCTAAGGGGAGGGATGTCTTCGTGAAGGACTTTCTAAGGGAAACTGGCTCGTATACACGTTACACATGGGGAAAACCACGAAAACGCCCATGCAGCCAGCCCGTTCGCGAGATTCGAACCTCGGACCGAACTACCAGTGTTCAGCGACTTTACCGCTCGGCCGCTGGTGGGCCCCCAAAATAATCTTAGAGTTAAAACTAAGATAAATGAAAATAATAAACATCATGCCTCTAAGTTTCATTGCATCTCTAATACACCATGCTTATTTTATTTCTTCACACTTTGAACGAATCATTCAGTGTTCTTGGCACAAAATGTTTCACATTTTAAACATTGCATTCACGTTCTTCTGTCCTTGGCGCGAGGGCAAAAAATTAACACATCTTTCATACTAATTGTTTCGAATTCATGATTCGTCTTAATTCTTCATAAAACTTCTGCTTTTGTTTTGCATGCAGCACGTCAATTTCTTAGAAAAGTATTAATCTCTGATCTTTGTTCGATATTTATTCATAATTGTAATGCTAAGTCCTTCAAAAACAGACTTCTGTTTCTTGTTGGTGGATTAGCAGTGAATGTAATAAAATCAAGCACTTATTACAGCAACATTCAGTGCAGAAAGAAAATTACCATTGGCAACCTTCTTGTTATTCTGGCAATTGAATAATTGGCTGACATTTCATCCCCCATATCCATGCTCCTTTAGTCATATTATTAAAACTTATAATTCCTGACGTTTATTTTTCCCAATAGTATCATCTATAGTATGATCGTTATGTAATGTTGAAGCATAAGAACAGTTTTTCCTTTTTAGGAACATCAGGAATTAATGTTTATCTTTTTCGAACCAAAACATTGTAGAAAATATTCTTAGTTTCATCTTCAGTTTCCGAAATGCAATCTTCATGGCTTTCAAATATTTTAATAAATCTCACATGCGTGCATCTCCAGTTCATAGGGACCCTTTCTTTACCATAATGCAGTTAGAAATTTTAAGAATTAATGTCAAGTACTTTAAAATCACTTGCGAGTAGAAAATTTATTGTTACACTCTAGAAATAAATTTCTGAACTAAATATTCAGTCAGAAAACACTACACGGACAGGCGCATGGGGTGTGTCATACCCCAGTTCCAACAAAATACCTATAAATCTTTTTCTGAAACACACAGGCAAAGAAAAAAGCGGTTGAAAGTCAACCACAACTAGAAACTCAGCTACTGAAAGCAGCACAGAATTTCAGTTTCACAAGTTAGGAATATTCCACTTTTATGTAGGGTTGGGGTATGATACACCCCCCGCGCCTTCCCGCGGGTTAAATAAAGTAACGTTGACAAGAAAGGCAATATTTTAAATGAATTCGGCAATACATTTAAACACCAGGTTGCCAGTTGTATTATCCTATGATAAAAACTGTTTAAACTTTTACATTGGCATTCTACTTTACTTCCGCATTTCCTCATCCTTATGGCATTTAAAATAACAAGTATATTTGTTCCCATTCTTTCACACATCTACCTTATCACAATAACAAACATGCATACTATTAATTCTTATTAAAGTGTATACGAGCTGGTGGGCTCGTATACACTTTAATAAGAACAGGAATTAAAAAAGTCTATCACTTTGTATAAAAGCATGAAGAGCATGATATTTAATAAATAAAGGTAACACAAAACGGTTAACAAAACGTTCCTTTTGGCGTGATGTAAAATCTGAAAGCTTTCAGATTTTTATAGTTTTTTTTTTTTTTTTTTTTTTTTTTTTTTTTTTCCAAATATTTTCTAAAATGTTATTTTTTGTTTCAGAAACGAGCGGACAACCTGGAAACCAATTCACATGGATACTTCTGTTCCTATTCTTTGCCTTGTACGAGGTGACTACATAACCGAATTGCCAACTTCTAAAGACAATCATACCATCTCATGTATTTATCTGTGCATCTGACAAGGTGCAATTCCTGTGGTTGAACGAGACATTAGACTGAGACTTTTACAATGCAGTGTTGTTACAGGTTATTGTACGCCATAAATTTAAAGTGTTGTACATAAGAGATATATTTAATGACAAACCGTTACTTGCGGAAACTAATTCTTTGTCTAACTATATGTCGCGCTCCTCTTTAACTGTATTTAATTAAATTCATACCATCATTGAAAATGGTTTTTTTCTTAACAAAAAAAAGTGAAGACTGCATTGCATATTATGATCTGGGCTGATGTAAAAATTTACTTCAAAAGTATTCTTTCGATGTGTGTTACAGTAGTACTTTGAAAGTTTATATTATGTTTTTTCTACTCATCATTTAATAATAATGATCATGCTTTGTTATTTATTTAAATTCTAAGAAGTTACTATAATGCGTGTAGAGTTTATGAATAAAAATAGTTGCACTTGGAACAATTTAAATCAGGTTACTGTTAAAACTAAATAATGACTTATTTAATTCCTGTAAGCTTTCTAGACATTTTATTCAACGAAACCTTTTAATACATGGTCTAAATTAGTTTACTATTTCTGTGCTTTTTATATCATTTATTTAAAAATCATGATCTTTTGTAGAAAATGTATTTTTGAACAGAATTTCAATGGGTAGTTTTTATCTGGCGTCAAACTGGACATTTTACTGTATATTACAGTTCGCTGAAAACCAAAACTTTTCAGCGATAAACGTATACAAATTTCCTGAGCTGAATAAACTTAATTTTTCTCCCATTATCAAAATTTCTGTGTAATTTTGTAAATTTTTTGCATTAATTAATAAGCGTAATTTGCATACAAAAGCATTATTCTGAAGTTATCTGTGTAACAAAAAACTATATACTGTTGCGTTTCCTTACATAAATTCTGAGGTTTTCAAATTTTTACTATTTGTTTTATATAATTTAAGCGTTTTGGAAATATATACGCGTTTTATCTGTAAAGTGAAAATATTTTGTCGAATGTACCTTTTGTTTTGTAAGCAAATTTTTAAAACATTTCCAGTCTCTTGCTCTGATTTTAATGCACTTGCTCTTGTAACGTTTAAAATTTTCGCAAATTGTTAGGCATTTCTCTTTATTTTTTTCTAACATTAAGATTTGAAGAATCAGATCCTTTAGTTGCTGATTTACAGAAATGGAGATCCAGAGAAAACGTTCTTATAGAGGCAGTCTTTCTACGTTTATTCGATGCAGTATGTATCATTGATGCGAACTGTACAATGCATTTCGTGAAATACCCCGGTAATTCAAAATATTTTCATTTTTAAAGTTATTTAAGAAACAAATTATATTTCACTCGTTTTATGCTTATTACACGTTTTTAATTTGTTGGGTGTTGTATAAAACGTATATATCTTAAATCAGAATTATATTTTTCCAGAAGGACGCTGGAAGAAACAGAATTTAAAGTCTTATTAATTTATTTAATTGCAAACTATAATAAACGAAATTACGCAGAACCATAATGTAATTAATTTTTTTATCATTTTAATAAACTGGAATGCGAATAAAATTCACTGCAAAAAAATTCCGTTTCTTTTGCTGAGGAAGAAATAATTTATATGTCGGTTTTTTTGCAGTGGAACTTGCCATTTCTAGTTTAAATATTATGGAATTAGCAGTCGACGAATGAAGGAAACAAAGGCTGAAGGTCTCTGAGTTTTAAAGAAAAACATGGAAACATAAAATAAAAGGTTTAAAATTTTGCTTCTGATTCTAATTTTATATTTTTAAAACTTATAACTGAATGAAATACATAAAACTGTACATATATCATATACAATACAGGATTTTAGGGCAACCTTGAAAGGGGATACCCAGGGCACATGTCCTTTTCCTTCTTAAGTAACTCAGGCCTTGTACTTGCAATGTTGCAATGTTTTACGCTTGCTGATAGTTGAAGTAGTTTTGTATCACTCCAAGAACATCATATAAATATTGTTTGATTTTCACTTAAACAACTTATGACATTAAATGCCTCCTCGATCCAGTATGCTTTGCCTATAAAGGCTTCAAAAATGCATAGAAAATATGATTCATAAAAATACGGTTACCAGTGTTTGTACCATCTAAAATAAAGCTCATAGGGAAAACACTGACGTCATATAAAATTTTCTACCCGTATATAAAACAGTAAGAAAATGTGCTTGTAATATAAATCTGGATACTTATCTATTAGTAACGACTATTCAAAAAAGTCTTTTGCAACAACTGGGAAAAATTGCCGCATATATTTCCCAGTACAAAAAAAAGTCACTTAACGTAATTTTGGAAAGTATGGAATCTAACTGTCAGTTGCATAGCTGTGTTTTTTGAATGACAATATGGGTAGTCCAAACAAAGAAACACTAAATACCAGTACTGACAGTTTAAAATTGTATAAGCATTGCAGAGATTCAATTAATATAATTCGTATTATTAAACAGTGCCTATATTTTTGGGCTATTTCGAGGCCTTCTCTGGTTAAATTAATTCAAAAACGTTTGTTTCTTTTAGAGAATCGTTGGGTATAATTCTTACTGCTAGATGGCCGTGACATCAAAAAGGCTTTCACCTTACAAAACCAAAATGCTAATACGTGTTACAGTCTTAAAAAACGAGTTCCAAATATGCATACTGGCATCATGCTGTACTCATGATTTTAAAGACGAGTCTGCCAAAACGACTAACAGGCCGTGCTGGACTCAATGAGCAAGCTGTTTGTAAGTAGTCGCCAAAGTCACTAGGGCATACTGTTTAAAACATCTTTTCTTTTCTTTGAGGGTTTGTGAAGGTTAAAGTATATGTACCTTCAATGCCCGCAACACCCACTTATCTTCAACGCTCCCATCTACTCCATTATACTGGACTCGCTTTACAACGAGTGGTTGAAGCTCGATTGCCGCATCAATGCTTTCCTCATAACAAGTGTGGCACATTGAATACTCTGTTATTCAAATCAGTGACATCAAAATCGTGTGAGCTTATGCATCTATGGGAAAACGTTGGGTAGGATATTTTCAATATTAAAGTTACACCCTCTGGAAATCGGGGTTGTATTCTGCGCTCACCCTATGGAATTATATTATAATGCAAGCAAAATAGTCTGACTCTCGTAAACCATCTCGAATTGAATCCTTTGTTAATCAGTTTCACATGTCTGAAAAAAAAAATGTTTAACACTTAAAATCATATCGTTTTTTATTTGACACTGGTTAGCTAGTTCATCAGTCATCGCAACAACATCAGATGTTTCATGCTTACTTTCTGAAAATTTATTATACAATCGATTACGAGACTTAATACTAAAATATTTTAATATTCTATGCTGTTTATTTGTTTGGCCGTTCTGTAATCATAACATCTTTTTATTGTGATAAATGACATGGAATTTTAGGCGATATAGTTAAGAAGTTTCTAGTTAAACGAATTATTTCAATGAACTTTGTAATTATAAATTCGTAAATTTCCAAAACCCAATTCTTATCACGTATCATATTTTGTATTGGTTTAACAATCTTCCATTTAAAAGCCCTCCAATAAAAAGGAATAATTTAGAAAAAGCATGAAAGAGGACCATCTAGAAGATTTATCTAAATTAATACCGCTATTACCTTTCAAATTCTTAAGCTTAAAATTCAGCCTGTATGTATACAAAAATAAACATTGCTCGCAATGTTTATTTTTGTATACTAAAGTTAAAAACAAATCATACCTTTCAGAAAACTTTGTTTGTCTAAGTAAGCACTCATGCATCTTGGAAATAGACTTTAAAAAAAAGACTATTTCATAACAAATTCTATGTAAACTTCGCTATTATTTTCAAAATGAAGTATGTTATCAGGTTTCTGTTCTATAATTTGAGAATCTTAAGAGAGCAAGTGTTTTGGGGATAAGAAATCATAATTATTTTGCAACGGGATAAATGTAACCAAATATTTCTCAAACGCTTTTAAATTTCCCAAATTCCTTGTGTTTGTCATAATAGCTCATATAACCCTTCTGGCCCACCAGCAGCCGAGCGGTAAAGACGCTGAACACTGGTAGTTCGGTCCGAGGTTCGAATCCCGCGAACGGGCTGGCTGCATGGGCGTTTCGTGGTTTTCCCCATGTGTAACGGGTATAAGAGCCAGTTTCCCTTAGAAAGTCCTCCACGAAAGGCATCCCTCCCCTTAGGCAGATAGCCCTAGTGTGCTTTGCCATAATTAAATACACACACATATAACCCTTCTAAAAACTGCAAGCATGCCGTTGAGGTACCCAGGTATCTATATCAAGTGTACAGGCAAAACCTTTATTCCTGAGAAGCTTCAGAGATTGGTAAACTCTAAAATTAAGATTAAATTTTCAAAAATCAATATAAAAATTAAGAACTTTCAAATTTTAATAAATTGAAAAATTAAGACTGAAAAATTTGCCTTAAAAAATTCGTGTTATTTTATTTTATAAACGTTCCTGAAGAAAATGTGTAAAATATTTTTACAGTCACTTTTTATTTCGAAGGTGATAAAGTCAATTCGGTAAGATATAGTATTAGAAAAAAGATATATTTATTAACAGTTTTTTAAACATATAATTTGCGAAATTTTGTCATAGAGTTTCATTAAAGTTTTATAAGATAAAATAAGATAAAAGAGAAATAAGAGATATAAACCACAGTAAATTTGGCAACCACTGGATATTTAAAATTAAGGGAACATGGTAGAAATAAAATTTCTCTTATGGTACATGATTACCGGCTTTTAGAAGGATAAGCTGTATATACAATAGATATAAGAAATTACGGATAAATCTATTGCTCTTCTTTCAATTAAGGAAATAGGTAAACGACCTCGTTCGAAGAGCCTTTTTTTTTTTTTTTTTTTTTTTTTTTCAAAATGTTTCTTATATTTCTGAATTTAAGAGATTTTTTTTATTCGATTGCACCCACACTTAAATATAATCACTACGAAAGTGATAAAATTTTATTATTTTGTGAAATTTATGCGGAAATCAGAAAATTTTACGTCGAAATTAACAAAAATCAGCAACCATCAGTGACAAGAAAATAATGACGATAAAAAAATATTTTTGACTTTATTTTACGTATACCTTTAGCATATAGTGAAGTAGAATAATTGAAAAATAGTGATTCAGTAGTTATGTATGGGTAATATAAGTACACAAAAAAAAAGACTTTTTATAAATCCATACACTGTCTGAAGGAAAAATTATATCATTTATATTCTGTAAAGCTAATTTTTAATACATAATAATATACAAACTCTGCGTGCAAATTTCAAGTGATTCTATAAGGAACTTATAGAGTTATCATGGTGAATGTGAGCATAAATCATAACGCTAAAAATTATTAGTTAACAAACAACATAAAAAAAGGGCAAACATTTAATTTTTAATTTGCCCTTGAAACTTTCACTTCCGTTGCTGCAAACTTGACAGTCGTATAATTTTTAATTGTATGGTTTAAAACCCAAGTATCCTCTTTGCAATTATCATAATATAGTTTTCCTTTGTATTTACATTTATTAAAATTCTACTGTATTAAATACTTTTCAGAAATGTTTTACACGCTGAAACTTAATTTCAGAAATTGAGCAAATAAAATAATTGAAACACATTATTGTATGAAACCGATATATGTCTACGAAAACCCGGGAATGTGTTTTACCTTTAAGTAATTCTATCATTTTCATTAACTAATCAAAACAATTATTTTGAAACGTGTCGCTTTAAAG